CTAAATTCATTCAAGAATTATTTGTCTCAATTTTAACTAAAATGCCTATAACTTATTTTTGTTATATATATGGACATTTAAAGGTCTGGTTAAATATGAAACTCCACACGTAAAATCTAAGATTAGAAATAAATCTTAAATTAGATATAATCTGTTGCTAGGTAACATGGTGAAAATGTTCACTAACATAGAGGGTTAAGATCTTTGAGGAAGGTTTAAATAAAAATGCCTAAAGCATAGGATGTATTAGGAATTACTTGGTGAGGAATTACTGAGAATCTTTTAACATGGAAGAATTGCCTTTTTGGAAATATCAGAGGTCAGATTTCTGAGGATGCTGCAGTGATGACCGGTTCTAAGAGCTGGTTTATTCAGTGAAGAAGACTAATTTCCCTTTGGCCCCTAACTGACCTCATTCCACTGCACTCTGCAGACAGAAATAAACACTACAAAGAAAAAAAAACAGAAAAGAGGGCATAGAAAAGGATGCAGAAAGTGCAAATTCCAGCTGAAAAGTCAAAGTAATCACACTTAGCTAAACTCAAGAAACTGTCCAAAACATAGAAATCATAAACCAAATATACAACAATTGAAGCGTTTTGAATTTAGATTTGTTTGGTATAATTCTGGACAACAGTTTATGTTGAACGACAGAATAATGTACATGAGAAATAGAGAAAACATCTTAAAGTACATCATATGAATATGAACTATTCACAGTGCATAGATTAATAAATACTTATACTTCAATGTGTTTAGCCAATACACTGTATTGGTTTAGCATTGATTTACACAAAGAAATTGCCATCTGTATCCATGTATTCAACACAGAAGAATAATACATGCAACATACATGTAGGTTTTTGTCAAGGTACATACATACTTCTATGAAAAGGTATTTGTATTTTGCAGACAGTTTTCTACATTTTTTTTGTTGTTGTGAGAATGTTTTAAGGTCACAAGACAAACTAAAACACAGATAACTAAAATTAATACAAAATGTAGTTTTTCTATCATTTAACTCAATAACACACATTTTCAATTTCAGATATCAGTCCCTCAAAGCCAAAAAAGGCATATAATATGAAGACGTATGTTCATTTAAATTGTACAAAGAAGCTTGAAATGAAAAATAAATAGGAGTACATTTTTACCAGAAAAAAGGGCTCTATGTAAATGAAAGAAATCAGAAGTTTAGTTTTGAAAAGTTGAAATGACTTTTATTGTCATTATGTATACACAGAGTGTATACAAAACAAAATGTAATTTAGTACAGCTAACCAGAAAGTAAAGGATCATTTCCAATCCATAAAATGAAGCAGTGATCAAATGTAAACAGTGTGGGAGAAAAAAAAAAAAAACAACATGGCGCAAAAAAATGCATTGATATAGAAGTTCAGAGCAATAATATATATGGTGCAAATATGCAGTATTTTTGGTTTGGTGTTGTCAGTGTGATGCAGAGTCTGTGACATGATTTAGACTTTTCTTAAAAGTTAAGCAGTCTGATGGCGGTGGGGAAGAAGCTGTTGCAGAATCTACTGGACCTACATTGAATGCTGTGAAGCCTTTCCCCAAAGGGCAGCACGGAGAACAGTCCATGGTGGGGGTGTGAGGGGTCTTTTATGATATTTGGGCCTCGGGACACGCAGCGCTGTGATAAAATGGCTCCTCGCTTTCTTTCATCTGAAGCGCTGCAGCCTCCACACCACACAGTGAGACAGCTGGTCAGAACGCTCTCAATGCTTCTTCTGCTCACAAGGATGGGTGGGGACAGGTTGGCTCTCCTCATCCTCCCCAGGAAGTACAAGCGCTTCTGTGCCCTTTTGACCAGTGAGGTGCTGTGTACAGTCCATTTGAGGTTGTCAGGGATGTGCATCCCCAGGGAATTTGGTGTTGCTGACCACCTCTACAGCTGAGCTGTTGATTAACAGTGGAGCATTTGTGCAGAAACTTTGCGATGCAGCCACTATGATTTCACCTTGGACATATTTATCCATCCATCCATTATCTGACACGCTTGTCCCGAGTGGGGTCACGAGGGGTGCTTGTGCCTATCTCCAGCAGTCAATGGGCGAGAGGCGGAGTTGGACATATTTAAGTTTATAGAAATATGTAGAAATAGAATTAAAAGTCTTAAATCCAAAGGCACTACATTTTTGCAGATCAGTTGTTTTTTGTACAGTTCTAGCTCAAGATGTATCACATGGCTGCCCTCCTAATTGACATGCAATGTCAGAAACTAAAACAAATCTTGACTCACAGCATTTTTAGGCTTAATTTTACATCTTTGAACAATCATTAAGTACTGTCACAATTGCTTTCTATTCTCACTATAGAAGCCAAAGCTCTATCACCGTCAGTGGAGACTGTTTAGTCCCAACATCTGAAATATTTCAACAGTCTTTTTCCTGTTCCATGGCACCCTAACTCTGGAGCACTCACCCCACCAACCAGAAAATGCAAGTTTTATCTTCTCTTAAGAATTGCACCGAGCAAAAACATTCAAGAGTTTTGCTAAAACACATTTTCAGTCCAACTTTGATTTCAGATTTCAATCAACTTTACAAAGTCCAACTTTCAGGAAAAGATTTTCGTTCAAAAGATTGTGCTTGTGCTCTGTGCATAACTTCTCTTAATCAGTTGATTGCTGGACCTTTATAAAAGATCAGAAAGACCCATTTGTAAAAAAGGTAGAGTATGCGAAGGCTTAAAAAAAATAAAACATTAAATAAAATGGAATAATACAGGTCTAATAAGGAGTCAAGATTGGGTGGCTGCTGAGATAGTAATGAAACACTGAAGCTTTAGGAATAAAAACAAAAAAAAAACCACTGTAGAGAGACAGCCCGACATCTTGGTACAGAGGAATTGGTTTAACAGCTGGAATAAAGCAACCACATTCATGAAAAGCTTCAATGATCTTTAAAGCCCTCTTGCCAAAGAGTAAGTGATCTTTGATCTATGGAGCACATTCTCTAGTCTTGGGACTACCCCCCAAAAATTTTTTTAGAAGTTTGTGTCCAAATAGAATAGTTTAAGGCACCATATCAACAGAAAAAGCATTTATTCAAACATCTGTAGTTCAAAACAGGACTCATTCAATTCAGTTTATATAGTACCAATTCACACCACATCTCAAGGCCCTTTACAGTTCAGATCAAACTTAGTCAAAGTGTGAAGGAAAACCAGTTGATTGCATCCATTTTTCAAAATACAAATTTTGGGACTGGATGGCAAGTTTCAACTCCAAGAATGCATTTAGGTACCACCTTAGGACCTATACCTGTAGAAGCAGCATTTAGTTCTTATGCTCCAGTTACCCAGATCAAAATCTGGACA